TCAGAGCGGATTACAATCCCTTTCCTTTCCCCTCCCCGCAACAGACACCCTGTGAGCAATGCTCCTTCTAAGCTGTGGAGTCCTGTGAGCAAAAATTCTACTTTATGAGCTACCGGCATTAAAGTTGTGAGCAAGTGATTTGGCTACTGCATAAATTACTTTGCTCTGGAGCCATTCTTCCTGAACTAAGACAAAAATGTGTGAGCCGGAGGCTAAAAAACTTTGAGCTAGCTCACAGTAACCCAGTTTAGAGGGAACACTGCCTGTGAGGTAGGTGGGGCTGAGAGAGCTCTCTCAAGAACTGCCCTTGAGAGAACAGCTCTGAAAGAACTTATGACTGACCCAGGGTCACACCAGCAGCTGCATGTGGAGGAGTGGGGAATTAAACCTGGTTCTCCCAGATTAGAGTCTACACTCCTAAACCACTACACCAAACTGACTCTCAGTTCTGATACGAACCTCTGCTTTCTGCTCCCCACTGCTTTCATGCCCTCTGCTTTCTGCTGCTTTTCATGAGGAGCAGAAAGCAGGGGTTTAAGTGGCTCTGAGACATTTAAACCCCTGCTTTCTGCTCTTCATGAAAAGAACATCTGAGTGGTGGGGAGTAAAAAGCAGGGGTTTAAATGGCTCCAAGCATTTTAACAAGGGAGGGAGGGAGGGAGGAAAGTAGCCCAGATAGTTGTATGAATATCATGATTTTTTAATCTCTTGAAAGAATCAGCTCTTTCAGCAGTTGCCACAATAAACACCATTATTTTTCAGCCCTATTAGCTTGACATACTACCTTTTTGTGCTTTTCAGTCAAAATCAGTTTAACTACAAATATAATTATGTTTGCCCTTCTTTATGAAGTACTTTACAGACAAACAGGCCATTTACTAGACATAAACAAATTATAAACTGCAATTTATGGAATACAGCAGCATTTCTTAGTAAGCGGGTCCCAGAAAAATGCAGCTTTTATCATGCCCATGTAGTCATTAAAAAAAAAAAAATGCCTGTGTGTTTAAAGACCAGTATGCAAACCATTCCAAGCGCTGAAGATAATGCAGCATACATATAAGAGGCAAACTGCCATTCAAGTCGATATTCAGAAAAGGAGTGGAGACAAATTTTCATTATTGGGATCAAAGGGATACAACCCACAGGAATAAGGCTTTGTACACTCAGAAGTAGAACAATGGATTTTCAGTGGATTTTCTCATTGAAAGGCAAAATAGAGCAGAAAGCAAAACAAATCAGAGTAGTACAAGGGTGCTGTGGTGGAGCTTGTGCAGAACTGTGTTGCACATCGGACCCTTTGTATCCTAAGTCAGCCTGTGCTCAGTGACGGCACAGATTCCTCAGACAAAAAGCTGCCTGCAGCCAGCCTTGTAGCTCTGAAGCAGTAAACTTCAGAAGCCACTCCCAGCCCACCTGGTTCACCCACGCCCCTGCAGTGCCAATGCTGTCAGAAGTGTACAGAGTTGCAGGAAAGGAGAAGGAGTGTGAGATTCACGGCCCATCGTCAGCTGACGAGATGGATGAGTAGTTTCAGGATGACTGCCAAGGAATGGGATGGGAGTGTAGCTCGTTAAGACTTGGCTATAAAATCAGCCCAGAGAGGCAGCAGTTTTGTGGATGCAACAAGTGCACATTGCTACTGAACCACTGGCCGGACCACTGGAACATTGACCCTCGGACAGGACCTGACTATCGGCTTTTCTGGACCCCCTGGACTTGGACTTGCCTGGATCCCTTGACACTAGACTGGACATGGCATACTTGCTCTCTGAATCCCTGACTTTTGGACTGGACCCCGGTTACTCTTTGCAACCTGCCCGTGACCTGCCCTGCTGAGCCCCAGCCCTTGTCTCCTGGGAGGGCTGCACCAGTACACTTTGATGGGAGCAAACAAGGGAAAGTCACAGGGTGGATTGGACCAAATTGTGCTCTTTCCCAAGCTTGATTTAATTATTTTGCCAAGTGGTGGAATTGGCTGTGGAACAGTTCTGCAGCCTCATTTCTACCGAACAGTCTTATATGTTCAAAAATAGTCCTCCATCCACTTTCCTTCTTGGCCTGTTTCCTGGCCAGCTGTTGTTGACCATGATTCTATTCCTCAGAAACATTTACAGCTGCGAGAATGGCAGATATAAGGCTGGCTATAAAAGTCTGGGTGATAGCCAGACAATATGATTGGTAAACATGTTTTAATCCGGTTTCAGAGGGTAGCTACATTAATCTGCAGTAGGACAGCTGGACTCATGTCCAGTAGCACCTTAGAGATCAACGAGATTTCTTTTTCAAGAGACAGAGACTGCGGTCACACACGCACACTAAATAATCCACTTTCAATCCACTTTCCAACAGGATTTTACTGTGTGAACTGGCAAAACCCAGTTGGAAAGTGCATTGAAAGTGGATTACTTAGTGCGTGTAATGGCAGCCAAAGCTCACTTTGTCACATATTTGACTCTTGAAAGCTCATACTCTAAAAATCTTGTTGATCTCTAAGGTGCTACTGGACATTGTACTTGAATCTAACTTTTAAGTCCTGTTGAGTTCCGCGGGAGAGGTTTAAGGACATGGTTCACTGTCTCACTGATAACAACGGGGCTGAAACCTTCTTGAAGAAGCCTTCTCCGGTACCAGCTTCCAGCCATTTTAAGCCAAACCAGTGACAAAATTATTACCTTTAGAATGTAGAACAAGAATCATTGAGTTCTATGGGAGAAAGTAACCAGGTGGCAATTAGACACACAGTTTATATGCAGACAGACTTGGGCCAATGGTGTCCTGAAATCCCATTCACTCCTACTGGAAAAACTAAGTGCTATACTAAGAGATTGTTGTGGGGCCAACAAAACTTACCTTCCACACCCATACCAATGACAATAAGCCTCCACTGATATGAGCTGGGCTGAAGCCATGGCTCAGTGGCAACTAGGGGTATGCGCTCGGTATATATATCGGTATTTTCGGGTCATAAAATGCTTGCTGAGTTCACTTGTAGAGTCACGCTGCCGTGGCAACACAACTTGGTGAGTGAACTCAGCAAGCATTTAGGGCTTAAATCCGTTCTCCGTTATACCCTATGGCAGTGATGGCAAACCTTTTAGAGACCGAGTGCCCAAACTGCGACCCAAAACCCACTTATTTATCGCAAAGTGCCAACACGGCAATTTAACCTGAATATTGAGGTTTTACTTTAGAAAAAAACAACCCATACATTAACTTAAGATGATCCCAACAAAGTAAGGAAAGCAATCCCAAATGCTTTCATTTACTTAAAATTATTTGGCAGAGAATTCGACACTTTAATGATGGTCTGGGCCTGGCTGGGGCGATGGCACGCGTGCCCACAGAGAGGGCTCTGAGTGCCACCTCTGGCACCCGTGCCATAGGTTCGCCACCACTGCCCTATGGGGTCAACCCCCCAACCAATATAATGGAGCCAAACAGATTCGGGTATCCCGAATATTCACCCAAATCTCAATACAAAACCAATATTGGCATTCGGGAATATTCAGGAATACTGATATTTTTCGGGTCCAATAGGCTCAAATTTTAAAAAACACCCTGATTTATTGATTTTTTTGCACACCCCTTGTGGCAACATATCTGCTTTGCATAAAAAAGATTCCAGGATCAAGCCCAGGCATCTTCAGCTTTTGGACTGGATAGTAAGTGATGTGAAAGACCTTGCCCTGAGACCCTGTAGAGCTGCTGTCAATCAGAGTACACAACACTGACCTCAATAGATTAAGGATCTACCTATATCAGCTAGGGTTGCCATTCTCCAGGCGCTGGCTGGACATCTCCCACTATTACGACTGATCTCCAGGTGACAGAGATCAGTTCACCTGGAGAAAATGGCCACTTTGGTAGGTAGATTCTGTGGCATTGAATTCCCCCCCTTCCCAAACCCTGCCCTCCTCAGGCTCCGCCCCCAAATCTCCAGATATTTCCCAACCTGCAGCTGCTAACCCTATGAATGTAGTCTACCCCCCAAGCCCTTGTGGACCCTATGAATGTAGTCTACCCCCCAAGCCCTTGTGGGTCCTCTGCTCATACTGATTTTAAAAGGAACCTTATAATGTTGGTGATGATAACAACAACAATAATAATACCAATACGAAAACAACAACAATAACGTTACTATAAGCTATCTGACATAAACATTTTTAGGAATTAGGAAGTCATTAAATATATACATGCAAACACCCCCTCTGGGCAACAATAACCAAACTCCTTTCTACAGTTCAGAAGAGCTCCCAAAATCCCTTTTTAATTTAAAAGTGCACTTGGCATCTCAGTGTGAGCCACTCTTATTAACTGTTAGTTGATTTGTGCATGGCTTTTTTTTAGTGTTCTTATGATTCATGTTTCAATTGTTGCTATATCTTGGCAGTCGCTGAACGAAGCTGTTGGTGGGGTATTAAATGCTGGACCTAAACAGAGAAATGCCTTTCAGTTTTACTCGAGTGTGTGCCTCTTGCCCTGCTGGGATGTTCAATCCTGCTATGAAAAGTCTGATAAGGAATTTGAAGCTAATATATCAAAGTCAAAGGACGGAAAGGCCTCTTTGGCAAGTTAGAAGCCCTGGAGGGGAAGGGGGGGGCGAGGGGACAGAAGGGTTGGATCAACTTTCCATCTCTTTTTGATGGAAGAGTCAAGCTGGCAAGCGAAGTTTAAAAGCGGCAACATTTTACACCGTGGAAATCAAAGCAGTGATTGAGTGGAAGCCCTGCACGCCACATCGAGATATAAAAGTTTATACAGAAGACAGAAGTCAAGTTGCTGTAACATCTTGTAACTTTCAAAGTCTCCTGAAACAGGAATGAAAATCCCCCACAATGAGGCCTGTACAATGTGACCCGTCAAGAGGAATGAGGCCTGCTCTAGCCAGGCACAATGGAAATTTCTTGGCACTGTACGACTGCTGGAAAGGGAACAAGGAAATCCAAGCAGACTAATCTCCAGAAAGAACAAGTCCTGTTTGTAATTCTGATACTTACCCCCAAATGGTGACATTGTCTGTGTGGAAGATGAGTCGGTCATCTCTTCCCCCATATGAAAGTAGGAGGAAGTAAGTGAGAAGGCTGGGGTAAAGACAGAAAGAATTTAGAGACACAGAAGGAAGACAGACCCTGAGGGGAAATTGACTAGGAAGTGACTCAGTAAAAGAGAAAGGACACAGAGTGGAGGAAGATAGAGAAGGCTGGTTCAGTTTTTTTGGAAGGTTTGCTTTATATAAACTCCTGACAGACTGCCTCTTAACTGGTAACAGGCCCTTTAACTATTAAGAACATAAGAACATAAGAGATGCCAATGTTGGATCAGGCCAAAGGCCCATCCAGTTCAACGCTCTGTGTCACACAGTGGCCAGAAATACCAGTGCCATCAGGAGGTCCACCAGTGGGGCCAGGACATTAGAAGCCCTCCCACTGTTGACCCCCCCAAGCACTAAGATGACAGAGCATCACTTGCCCCAGAGTCCCTATCTATACCTTGTGGCTAATAGCCACTGATGGACCTCTGCTCCATATGCTTATCTAATTCCCTTTTGAAGCCGTCCATGCTTGTAGCCGCCACCACTTCCTGTGGCAGTGAATTCCATGTGACTCCCTCCATCATGTAGATAACATTGTGTGATGCAGGGCTCTTAATGGGTGCTCAGTCTGGCCCGTGCAATACCCCCCTCCCCATTTTTTTTGAAAGGAGAAAATCATGAAGATCAGGCATCCACATGGTTTTGGCATTGGCACAGGGGACCCGTACAATACACAACATTGTCTGCATGAGGGAGCAGTGATGTGTGAGATCATCCATCCGGCCACTGCACAAAGAAGTCGATCCCTAGGGCAGCATCTGAAGCAGGTCTCAAATGAGACAAGGAAGGGAACAACAGACAGAACTGAGGAAGCAAGGCAGTACACACTCGGGGGAAATTAGAGGGCATCGATACTGAGAATAAGCTGCAGTATATCTGACTACAGTATCCTGATCTCAAGTGTCAGGGCTGCCAACTCAGGGCTGGGAAATTCCTGGATAGTTAGGTGTGGAGCCTGGGGAGGGAGCTCACCAGGATGTGATGCCTTAGAGCACCCCCCCCCCAAAGCTAATTTCTGTAGTCTGAAGGTCAGGTGCAATTCCAGGAGAACTCCAGACCCCACCTGGAGGTTGGCAAGCCTAGCTTCAGCCAGGACACTCGGGGGGTGACAGTAGCTTGAGTTTCTTGCTGGTACAGTTGCATCACCTACCCACTCAATCACTCGTTGATGTAATGGATCCCTGTGCAATATGTCCATACCGAAAGCTCATACCAATATTATAGAGTAAAATATTGGGATTACAGCCAGAACTAGCCCTATAATGACTTCCAAGTTGGCCTGTATAGCCATGCAGTGCACCCCAGTGTTGTGAGAAAAATAAAATAGTTGGTTCAGAAAATTTAAAACCCATTTTATACAGTTAATTTTATAAAGAAATCATAGTGTTTTTCTCTCCTCTATTGCTGTAACTTTCCAAACAGCTAGCAGCACAGTGAACATGATTTTGTATGGCCAGATGAGGCCAAATCCCTCCCCCTGCTCCTTTGACTTTCTTACAAAGCAATCCTGTGCCTACTTACCTGGGAGGAAGCCCTGTTCAATATGGACACTTACTTCTGAGTAAACATGCAAAAGATTGTGCATTCTGGCAGGGATGTGGAAGCGATGCATTCATTCTTGGTGCTATTTTTTAAAATGTGTAAATAGCCAAAGGAAAAAAAAAAACAGATTTGGTAACCTTCAAGGCTCAACAAGATCCATTTGCTGTGTCTATAATTTTTGTAGCTCATGACGCTATAACCTGCAATCAGATAGTTGTGTTTTTACATTTGCATAAAAGAGCTGTGAATAACTTGTGTAAGTGCCATAAGTATTTCAACAAATTCAACATTAATAGGTGTGTTAAGTATATTTTTGCTTGGGTAACTTAAATTCAAGTAACAGTTACAAAACAGACAAACTTGCCGCTGAAATGCACAAAAACAATGGCTATCAAAAACCTATGGTCCAAAATTCATGCGACGATAAATCAACGGGTAGGCACAGTAAGTAAATTTGAACTTGTGGGTCGCCATAACAGTAAGTTGGAAACCAGTGCTCCAGTCATCCTCTCCAGAGCCAGTTTGGTGTAGTGGTTAAGTGCGCGGACTCTAATCTGGGAGAACTGGGTTTGATTCCCCACTCCTCTTTTACACCTGCTGGATGACCTTGGGCGAGCCTTAGTTCTGATAAGAGCTGTACTTGAAAAAGAGCAGTTTCTGTCAGAGCTGTCTCAGCACTCTGTGTCAGTTGTGGGGAGGGGAAGGGAAAGGAGTTTGTAAGACGCTCTGAGACACCTTTGGGTAGTGAAGGGCCTCAGTATGCTCCTTCTAAAACACGCTTTTCTCCAATCTTTTTTTGGGAAGACTGTGAGCCAAGCATGTTAACATACCAACTGAATGGAAAGGTGCACATTTTCTTGTCTTGCAAACGTCCTGCCCACCTTGATGCCATTTTTGTGCCATCAACCCTTTGTGGATGTCATTTCCCCCGCTGTGCCACTGGATGGCTTTTTAAAGGAATTTAATTTTTAAAAAATAATATATAGTAGTATTGTGATAATGCTATAACATTATAGTACGACAGCAATTACAGGTTTTTTAAAAGCCCTCAAAAAGTCCTTAGGTGGTATAGTGGAGGGAAAATTCGGCCGGGGGGGGGGGAGTTGTGCTGATGGAATAAAATGTACAACAGACTCCTGTACAGAAGCTTCGTTACCAATAGGCATGCTGCTGCAGTCACAGCAGTGATTAATACAGAACAAAAAAATCTCATATGGTGAGAAAAGCTCTAGTCTGTTTTAGGTATTTTTACTGAATGTTCCAGCTGCTTTCTTACCAGTATTCCATAACAACCTGTACAGGTTTGCTTTCACCCCTGAGGCCACCTGGATGACTGAGCGCCATGTAGACTGGGTAGCAGGCATGGCTGGGTTCTCATAGATGGGTTTGACATGACAGTACCTTCGGACAGCGCTGGCTCTTCGGCTTTGAAACGGAGATGAGCACCACAACCCTAGAGTCGGATTCGACTGGCTTTCGAGCAAGGGAACCTTTGCCTTTTTACCTTGCGGCAAGAGACTCAGAAAGGAAAACTGGTGACCTTTTAAAGCTTGGGCTGACCAAGAGATGTGAGCTCTTGGCCTGAAGATCATAGCCTGATCTGCTGGCACACGGACCATCACTTGTGTGTCCCTATTGCTTAAGTTTTTCCCCACATGTGTTTTGCTCCCCCTAGTGACCGATTCGATATTACCTTTCTGTATGTCTGGCATATTTCCCTACTCCCTACACTTTAAAACTGCAGAGAAATGAGCCGGACATATGGCAGTGTAATATCAAATTGACCACTAGACAGATCAAATCACATGTGGAAAAGTAAAACCCCCAAAAGCTATAGGGACACACAAGCGATACGAAAATGAAGAGCCCAGAGAAAGAAAGACCTGCTTTGTACTTGGAAGCCTTATTTCCCCCTCTTCTTATGCTTATTTGTTTCATTGTATTGTTGTGCTTGTGTACTTTAAGTCACTTTGGATCCCAAATGGGGAGAAAAGTGGCATGTGTTTGTGTAAATTGCTGTCAAGGCATAGACAAGCAAGAAACGAACAGAGGTAGTTTGCCATTGCATAGCAACTTTGGACTTCCTTGGTGGTCTCCCATCCAAGTACCAAACAAGGCCAGCCCTGCTTTGCTTTTGAGATCTGATGAAATCAGGCTAACCTGGGCCATCCATGTCGGGGCGAATAGTGGCATATATTTGCTTAAATAAATAAATAAAATTGGTACACATGGGTGGGGCTGTCTGAGACAAAGGTAAAGAAGAAGAATGGGGTTTTGTACCCTGCTTTTCTCTACCGTAAGGAGTCTCAAAGCGGCTTACAATTGCCTTTCCCTTCCTCTCCCTGCAACAGGCACCTTGTGATGTAGGTGAGGCTGAGAGAGTTCGGAGAGTACTGTGACCCAAGGTCACCCAGCTGGTTTCGTATGGGGAGTGGGGAATCAAACCCAGCTCTCCAGATCAGAGTCCACTGCTCTTGACCACTACACCACACTGGCTCTCAAAGTGAAGTTTTGCCAGGGCTATTTTTGGGCAGGAACGCACAGGAACAGAGTTCCGGCTGGCTCCCGAGTTGGCAACGCCCAGCAGGAACTCATTAGCATAATAGGCCACACCCAACAGCAGAAACTCATTCGGATTGGCTACATTAGGGGTGTGTGGCCTAACATGCAAAGGAGTTCCTGCTACAAAAAAGCCCTGGGTTTTGACAACAAACAAGGTAAACAGAATAACAAGCAAAAGGTGGGTGTGGCTGGATAACCACACTTCTGGTAACATGGGGGTGTGGCCTAGTATGCTAATGAGCTGTGCTATCAGGAGTGTGGCCCAATATGCTAATGAGATCCTGCTGTTGGGTGTGGCCTATTATGCTAATGAGTTCCTGCTGGGCTTTTTCTACAAAAAGAGCCCTGAGTTTTGCTATGTAACAGAGCCTTCATATTAAGAGAAAGCAAATGGGAAAGCAAAACAAAAAAAGGGTTATGAGTCAATCAAGGCTGATAAACTGGAGCATGTTACCTAAAGAGAGGAAATGAAAAAGGGCAATTAGAGAGGGGGAAAAGAAAAGGAGAGGAAGGGGACTCGCACTGTGGGAAGCCAAGCAGAGGGGGAGGGAAGGAGAAAAATTAGAAAATGGATATATTTGATATATTTGAATTGTGTAATTTTTTTGTTAAAGTTGTTATATCCTTCTAATAAATATTTTTTTTAAAAAAGGCTAATATACTGGAGGAGGAAGAGAAGAAAAGAACCAGTTTTGGGAGGCACTGACCAGGCAGGCGAACAGCTCATACATTTACTTTGAAGCACTGAGTGAATGGCGTGGCTGCAGCTGGCGTGGCTGCAGTGGTGAAATTATGAAGTTTCTCTGCCACAGCCTGAAGACGGAATATGGAATAGAAATGGGCCATGATTTTATAGGTTCCTTTCATATAGCTCTTTAGTCCATGTCAGCTTCTGAAGGCAAACAGTTTTTCTTTCAAAAGGTTTCATACACCTTGTGGATAAAATGCTGTCCTCCCACAGTTAAAGAAGCCTTTAATCCAGGTTTTCCAAAACCCGTTTTGATCCGATTTATTTCTTTGTTATTTCTTTATTCTTAAGGTGCATGAAACTTTCTTTTAATATCTGTTTGCCTTCAGAAACCAAAGTGCCTGTATGAAAGGGATTATATTGAAAGGAACCATAGTAGCTGACTTTGTGATGCCAGTAACATTTCAGAGTCCACAGAGGGACTAACAGAATAGGGAACAGTTTGAAAATAATTTTAATATGAGCAGCAAAAAAGCTTCCTGTACAATAATCTTTACGCCCCTATTCTATTTTTTTAAACCTTTTATTTATTTATAATCACAAAACAATATATACCACACTGTTTCCAACAAAGGAGATGTATAAACATGGATGTACGATACAGTAATACATAAAATCTATACCCTAAATACTATAACATTTCAATAGATAGATCTTCTATAATATTCAAGACTATTGACCTCAGGACTAATGGTACAAATAGTATCTTATCCCATCAAGCTTTCATTGTAATGTGTCACATCAGTAACCATTTGTGATAATGAAGGTTGGCAGGAAGTATGTCTTTTGCGGTGAGGTATGAAAATATTGAGAACCATATTGACTCAAACTTTGAACTAGAAGACTGTGGTGTTATAGCTCTTTGTATTTTATCTGATATTTTCGCCATCACGAATTGATCCCACACTTTCTCATGCCAGTCGGGTAGTGTCGGTGACAACGGGGACTTCCAACATGACGCTATTGTTAGACGTGCTGGTTGCAAGAAGTAAGGAAATTATTTCTTTGTTCCTGTTATCTAGATCACTATCCCATTGATTTAGAAGAAATATCTCTGGCTTAAAAGTTAGACTAACTGAAGTTATATCCACGATCTGTTGTCGGATCTCTTTCCAGAATTCACCAAGTTTTGGACAACCCCACCAACAATGTAGGTAAGTGCCCACCTGACCACAGCTCTTCCAACATCATGGATTGTTCTGCATATTTATCTTTTGTAGCTGATAAGGAGTCATGTACCATCTGGAATAAAGCTTGAAAAACTGTAATCTGATATTAAATATATTGGAGCAATTAGCTGGGGAAGACCATACATTGCTCCAATCTATGTCTTCCCACCGTACCTGTAGATCTTCTTCCTATCAGTGTTGATATTTGAGTTTGGGGCAGTCTTCTTCCGATATGATTGTCTTATATATTTTAGACAGAATGCCCTTTGGAGAGCTAGGGTATAGTTTAATAATCTTCTCCAGATTTGTAAGTTCCCTGAGAAAAACACCCAGCTCCGTGAGACGCTCAATTAGATTTCGTAATTGCAAGTACTGATACCAGGGGACCTGTTTTCCCAGTTTTAGATCGAAGTATTGCTTGTCTCTCATTACTCCTCTGCCTACTAAGTCAGTCAGGCGCCTAAATCCTGCATTTTTCCATCAAAAGCACGTGATGATAGCCCGGGCTGAAACCACTCCTGGCCCGTAAATGCTAAGGACATCGGACCTTAGAGCAAATCCACAAACCCTCAACACTGCAGAAATCTAAAGGAATGATTCCAAATGGTAAATTTTATCACCACACAATCTGTTTATGTGGATGTAACAGAACGCAATAGTATTCATACACAGGATATAGGGTTTTTTCAGACTGCAGCTGCCTTTCACGTTTTCGTGCGTGTTGTGCTGCTTCCGATGATTGTGCCATCAGTGCAATCCGTTCAGACTTACCCTCAGGAGTTCCATCTGTTCTGGATTTATTTTTTGCAGGTTTGGGTTTTTTTTTTTGCAAATGCGTTGAAGCATTGGAGCATTTCAGCAGCCTCATTCGCTCTGCCTTCTTTACAGAGTAGCTCCATTCACTCTTGTGTAAAGCACAGTAGCTGAAGCACAAAAGATAATTTATTTGCACCTTTATTGGCTTTGATATTGAAGAGGGGGGTCATGATCCCAGCTCAGGCTGGAGAGAGAGGACACCAGAGCAGGCTGAGAGAGAGAGAGACTCACTCCCAAGGCAGAGCAGAGGAAGTGGCCCCAATGCAGGCACCTTCGTTCTCTGAAATATTATACAATTTTTTAAAAAAGCAAAAACCACCCACACCAACCTGCCTTTTCTGGGTGGATTTTGACAGGGTGGTGGGTTTGCTGGAAGTCACCAATACAAAAAACTTAGTTCAGATTACAGAGCAGAGGTTTCGTTGCGAATACATTTCGCATTCCCAGAAAAAGGTGTGGGAGAAACCAGTTTTATTAGGAACAGGGGGGGGGGGAATATGAAAGAAGGTTGGGGTGTTTATGCAGTTGTGTGAACATGAGAAAAAAACACGTTTACATCGGGTGAGGCAAGTGGATTTTTAGGGTAATGTGAAAGACCCCACACTCGGAAGGTACCTGGAGCAGAAATTTTGCAGAAGCTAAACGGGTCCTGGCCTGGTCAGCAGTGTTCTCTCTAAGCTGAGTTAGTGTGAGCTAGCTCACAGTTTTTTTAGCCTCCAGATCACACATTTTTGTCACACTTTCCCTATGAAGAAAGGTTAAAGTGCTTGGGGCTCTTTAGCCTGGGGAAACAACGGCTGAGGGGTGACATAATCGAGGTTTATGCATGAGATAGAGCAGATGATCTAAGAAGACCAAGGAGCTGACTGCGAGATCAGAGAACTAAGTAATGACACCGCTGTGAAATCATCGATACTAGCAGTTCATTATGTTTTATGGTTTTAGCATTGTCTACTTGTATTAATTTGATGTTGTTTAATTTTAATCTATACTGTTGTAATTTTTATGCTATTTTATGTAAGCCGCCCTGAGCCGGCCGTGGCTGGGAGGAATTTTAATAAACCAAATC